ACTTGTGTAACAGAAACTGGTAAGACTCTTTACATTTTAACATTTATAATTTCAGTTTTCTTGACGTAAAAACATTTTGAGTTCTGAGGTAAAAAAACAACAGCAATCTTAATATAAGTACCAGTTGTATTTACTGAGAACAAAACAAAACAAAATATTCAAAGACAGACAAAAAACAATACATTCAATTCAACATATAAGATATTTACTGTATACTTAAAGGAAGTCATAGATTGATAATTAGAATAAAGACTTCATGAACATAAAAAACATCTACTTCAATGGGATTACAATTGTAGGCTACGCAAATAACAGAAATTTTTGCAATATGTTATTCTTACATTTCATCATGATGGAATGAACAAGAAGATACGGGATTGGGAGAAAATGGCCCACTTTTAAGAGAAAATAGCCCATATGGGAGAAAGCAGCCTTAATGAAAATGGCTGACTTTTGGGGATAAGTATAAAGCAGTCAACACAGGAATTGATGGAAAACAGCCATAAGTAAGATATTAAAAGAAGTGAACCAATGCTTAGAGCTTCAAGTAGAGAAGCCACAAATGGACTTTATCAATTCCTACCAAAAGGTCACACTACAGATTGTCTTTATTTATTCAAGAACTACATTTGCAATATGGAATATAATTAACCTTATTAAAAATTCAATTATCTCAAGTTGTCGTCACAACCAAATATTTTCTTTTTCCATTGTTAATGAATACAATTTTGTTGTTTTTACTCTAAACATTTTGCAGTTTTGGTTAAGGATAAACAGTTCAGTAGATAAAAGCCCAGATAATCTATTCATGGTGTGGTATAGAGGACAATAAATCTATAGTTTTTCCTTACTAGATATAGTAATTACTCCTAAAGCAAGTAACAGTATGAAAGTTGAATAGCAGAGTAAGTAGTGGGTAACAGTAGGTTGTGAAGTTACCAAACTAGTGTCCAATGTTGAGGAAGTAGAAAGGTCCTAGTGGATGTTGGTTCCAATTGATCCTCCTAGGTTGAGGTTAGCCTAACCCTAACCCTAACCCAATCATCTAGTTTGGAAAAGGGATGTTGTTGAAAACGCCCACTAGCCTGTTGAAAAAGCCCACAGTGATTGCTGAAAACACCCACTGCACTTATTACCTATGCCCACTAATGATTTATAACTGTTTATAACTAATATTGATATAAATTTGTATTCTTAATATTCTTTCTTTTGTTGGAACAGAGAATATTAAAAATGATTGGTAAGGATTATTGTGGGCGTTTTCAACAACCCCCGTAAATTTCTATTAATGCTTTTGTGAGAAATACGAGGAAAGAAATACAAATTCAAGTTTTTGTCAAAATAGGAAAAGGAAATTGTAAAAAAGAAGTAAAATATACTTTAAAAATAAAGAAAATTGGTATTTATTATACTGAAAGTATTTTAAATTTATCATTCTTACATTAGGGGCACCCTGAAAGTTTTACCCATTTGTGTCTTACAGCTTAAAAAATATTATATAATATGCTTATTTAGAGGTATTTATTAATGTCTTAGATATGTCTATTTAGGATGTGACAGAAAACGTCTGCAAATTGCTGCTTTTACCCTAACCCTAACCCAGCGCTTGGCTGTACCTAACCTTTCCCAATACCCCTAACCCCAAGAGGAGACCCTCCTAACTACAAATCAGTTGCTGTATTCTTCTTGTTAACCATATTTCAATCCAAAATCTAGCCTTCAAATTTCTCATTTATGGACGTTTTCTGTTGACCTCGTTTGTTCTTCCTCCTATAAAATTTATCTGATAGAAGCTTCTCAACAACTGGAATAAGACATGACTCCTTTTTTAAAATGTCCATGAGCATGTAAAATGACCCTTTTGCAGGCATCTTTCCATTCATTCTTCTGTGCCATCCTTCAACATTATTGTTGGTTCTGATGGCAAGACCAAATACAGACCAACAATCTGGTGTTCAAATTGAATGCTTAATTCAAGTACTTTCAATGTATTGAAAAAAATCCAAAAATTCATTTCTCTCAAAAGCTTTTTCTTTTAGCATGTAAAAACTGTTTAAAATAGCTTCAACTGGAAGAAAAAGTAGTGCCAGAGCTTGTTTCAGAAGTGCCTTCTTTTCCCCAGAATATTGCTGTACATATCCCAAGCTCCACAATAATTTAATATTAGAACAAACCACATAATTTAAATAAAGGCTTACTTGAATTTTTTTGTAGATAGCTTGGGTCCAATGGAAGACACAACCTTGAATAGGAATATTAGGATACACTGAGATAAGAGCAGTCCATATACCTAATTCAAAATCAACTACAAATTTGTCTGGTTGAAATCCATTTGTGAATTCGTGAATCTCCTATTGATAAGATAAAGTCAACAAAACAAAATACAATAACTAAACCTTACTTACTTTAACAATTATTTTTTATGCTTTTTTTTTCTTTGATGTTAAAAAAGCAAATGCTAATGGAATTTGTTTTGCTTCTCCATCATATTTAATGAAGGAGTGAACAGAAAAAAGCTGTACAAATGGATTTTTCATAACCTTGAATGTGCCATCTAAATACCACACTTTACTTTTACATAATAAATACAGCTGGTGTTTTGAGTCAAATAGTAAAATCCATTGGTTGTTTGCAACAATATCATTTTGAAGAAAATCATCTGGTATAAATGTTGTGTTAATTTCAGAATCAATTTCATTTGGTTCCTTTGGCCTTGATTTTTTCCTATTAATATTAGCTAGTCTCCTCAGATTTTCCATTTTGGGTAAGCTATTTTCACTTTATTCAAATTCAAGAATAGATCTTCAGCTGAACACTTCAATGAAATATCTTCAGTATTTTTCTCCCTAATGACCCGACACCATTTTATACTTGTTATTAAACTCTCTGTCCTTTCACTATTATGCTTTATATGACTTGGCTTAAATGTATTTCCTTTTTGTTTGATTGTTGCAGGACACTGAATGTTATTTATTTCTGCTAGAAAATCTCTAAATTATTTTATTATCATTTAATTTTAACAGTTAATGTTTTCTTTTTTATTTATAAAAAATAGACATTGAAAACTGGTAGAAAAATATCTATGTTACTTATTTGCAGCATTTCCACACGAGAAGAAATTCTTAACAAAGAAGACATTTTGACTTATGGAAAAACAATGGGATACAGAAATATTTTAGCATTGATCTTTCCTTCATGACATATTACTTTTTACATATTGTACCATTTTTTAAGTATCTTTAACAGATATATTATAGATTGTACAATCAAGGATTTCAACCTCACAAAGTATACAAGTTGTTATAGTTTCTCTCAAAATCTTTTAACTGCAGAAGAATAACACGTTTCTTTCTAAAATTGTGTTGGATAAATATTGTTTGTTTTACATTGACATAACAATTTAACAAATGTTAATTTTAATGTTGAATTACCAAAAATTGTAATAATAGGATTAAAAATAGTGTGAATTACAAATAATGATCTAAATCTTTCTGAAATTTTAACAAAATATGGTTCTCTAATGTAAATAAAAAGTATTCCAGGAATTGAGATTAATATCCAACAAAAAAACATCATTGTTATCTGCATTAAAATGGCTTTTGATGATTTTGATATAGATTTTGTTGTATTAGTTTGAATTCCAATATCATGAGCATGTTTTTTAGCAATTTTAATAATTTTGATATGTAAAATAAGAGATATTATTATTTTGGGTAAAAATAGGCCAAGATAAACAAAATGATATTTAAATTTAAATATCAAATGTCCTGCACAATGTAAGTCTTCAGTTCTATTTTTAGAAGTTAGTGAAAGATAATATGGAAAAAAGCCTATAATAAATGAAAAAATTATGATAAGGACTGCAACTGCAAATGACCTTGAAAAGGTTAGATACTTTTTAAAATTAAATGGATATATAATAATAATATATCTTTGTAGAATGCTAGCCACTATAAACAATAATGATTGATAATAAACAGTTGGTCCTAATAAATGAACTAATACACAAAGGAATGGATCTATAATTTCAATATCAACAGAAGATTGTAATACTTTCTCTATAAAATTCCATATTGATGTTGATAAATCACAAATTGTCATCATTGGTATGAAACTTATGATTCCATCTTCAATATTCTTAGATCTTTTATAAACAATTAAAACCAGACTATTAAATAGAATACCCAAACATAAGAACAGAAATTCAAATATATTAACAATCAGATATTCTGTATTAGTATAAACTTCTGATGTTGAATTTGTAGTTTCATTCACTGTGTACATTTATCATTTGTCTTTGAATTATAACAGAGAAATTATATATATATACATATATGTATTTGGTCACAACCACTAGGTTTGGCAATGTGCCAAATTCTATATATATATATATATATATACTTTATGAATTTGAATAATTATTCATTTGCATTATTTATTATGCATACTGTAAAATTACTAGGAGAAAGACTAAACATAGAGCTATGATTTTGCTTGTAAATTAGATGCTTAATGGTAAAGCTGTTTGCATTAATATTAAAAAGTAATGCATTGGTAAATCTTCTTGTTTACCAGCAACTGTAAACTAGTCTACTGCAAACCCAATAATGAACTATACAAGGACACAAATAAGCAAATGATTCCTCTCTGTTATCAAATCACCAAGTTACTTTTAGTGATTAATTTCATTGAGCAGAAATGGATTGAAGGGATTTAGTCAGGATGTGAATTTCTCTTAACATTTTGCACAGGTTCTGAAGCTCAAGTAACCTTTTTTAATTTGATGAAAAGATATTCTTTTGGCTTTTTTTGTTTGCTGGCTGCGATTTTTCTATTTCGTCAATCTTGATCTTTTTATAAATGTCAATATTACCTTTACACCATAAATAGTATGCTGCTGCACCTGCACTTGCCTCCTTAACTTCTTGAAGATTTAATTTATCAATTATTTCTTTAGCTCTTAAATTAATTGCTGGATGTACATTGAAGATTTTAAGAGCTTAGATTTTCTTTAAAATTGAGTTAGAGCATGCATATTTAATAAAAACTCGACATTCTTTCCATTCATCAGTTTGTACTTCACCAATTGATAAAATCAATAATGTTGATTTTATAATCAGATGTACAACAGTTGATGGTTGATTATACTGATTTAAGTCTGCAATACATTTTGCATCAAGTTTTAAAATTCTTTTTTGCAAACCACGAATTTGGTCCAAATTTGCTTTTAATTCATTAGCTTTTGATAAATCTTTAAGTAATAGAGGATTTATTGGTTCAACATAATCTTTATCTATAGCTACTTTTAACTTTCTGTAATCTTTTTCTTGAAAAGCCTTTTGCAAATCTACAATGTTTTAAATGATATTTTTTTTAACAATTTTTCAATACTATAATATTGATATTTTACTTACTTGAATAATTCTATGAGTTTCACTAATTCTCCATTTATCAGTAATATTTGGAAATTGAAATGCATTTTTATTTGATTCAATAGCATAGAAATAACAATAATAGATTAATTCATAATTGTTTCTTGAATTCAATTCTTTTCCTTCAATTAGAGATTTATAAATTCCTGTATAAATATCACTTTCATCATTCAAATGTAACAAGAATTCTTGAAGAAATAATGAATATATGCCAGTCCATAATTAAGCATTCAATAAAACATCTGCTAAGCCTTTTTCAATCATTTCCTTAACAGGTTTGGCAAACATTTGTTGTTGTTTTCTTGTGGTAAACAACAGCTGTGCGACCTTCACCATTCTGAGTTCATCATATTGGATGGTTAAGCCCTTCTAATAGTCAATTCTATTATTTTATTTGTTGTTGTTTTTCCTGTGGTAAATAACAGCTGTGCAACCTTCACCATTCTAAGTTCGTCATATTTAAATGGTTAAGCCCATTTAATAGATGATTCTATTATTTTAAACACTTATAATTGAATGTTTACAATTCTTGATAAATAATTGCCTTTTATTCTTAAATAGTCTGGATGTAAGCTACTTCTAAGTGCACAAACAGATTCATCTGCTAGATCAAATGCTTAGTTAGGTAGTTGTTTGGAACCAAAATATAGAGCTGGTCTAAATGTTAAGATAATGTTTACACTTGTAATGTGTGTACATTCATACAACAGAAGTTTTGAAAATTGATGAAAACCCTGAGTAATTTTTCTATTTTACCCTAACACTATCATACCCATAGCCCTTGTCTGAACTATTTCATTGTTAAAGAAATGTTAAAAAAATTATAATTTTAATGAATCAATGCCAAGGATATTATTATGAAATGTTTTGAAATGTATGGAATAGTTTCAATCATTGAATTATCATTTAAAAAATCACCTTTTTTGTATAGTAGACCTCCTGAAAAGACAGTATAACTGGTAAACTGACTTCTTAAAAAACATTCTCTAGTGTCTAAAATATAATTAAAAGCTCTGAAAAGAATATTTATATAAAAGGTATTGATAATGGTGTAGAAAAAAATTACTAACTTGCAACCAGAATGCAAATTGCATACAGTTAGACATTCATCAAGCGCTACTACTTTTGAATGTGAATTCCATTCATCAACATGAAAGTTGAATTGTGTAACAATTCCTTTATTCTCCCAAATATCATAAAAGTTGTTCAGTGGTTGAAGTTGTATATCTTTTACAAATAATACAAATTTAGCTTTATGTACCTTGGTCGAAAATACACTCTTTAAATGGCATTTGTCCATTAGCAACTCATAATCAAATGCTCTGAAAAAATTCAAAATATATTTAGTAAATGTTTATTTCTCTCACGATTTTACTTACTTGCATTCTTCATATGAATTACACACAGCCATGCATTCCTGAATTGACGTAACTTTATAGCTAACTCCACCCCATTCAGGAATGTTTAATAGTTCGTTAATTTGAACCACCTCATTTTCATACTGTTCATAACCAAGAAGGCTTTGATCAGTAAAGTATTCAAAAAATATAAGATGATAGAAAAAACTTTGGAATAAAAGTTTCATTCTTCCCTGAATGAAATGTCAAACCAGCAAAATAACTTCTCTCTACAGAGAAAACTTCTATATAAAACATTCTTGTTCCTAACCCTTACATTTTTTTTATATTATATTGTAATCGATTATTCATTCCTTTTATATTAATCTTATGTTTTTTAAATGGAAACTGGTTTAAAATAGAACATGGCAGAATTTTTTACTTTTCCATTCAGGGAAGATATTTAACAAACCAACAATAGCTTCTTAATTATTGATGATGTTCTCCAGTTTAGTTATTTAGCGTAGCTATTTGCATTTCCATATGTATTCTATAAGAAGAACTGTTTTCTAAATTTTCTTAACTTAAGCAATTCTATATTTTCTATTAAACAATAAACATAATATATATATTACCAAAAATATCCTCAGATATCTAGGACACTGTCTAATATTCTAATCAGTATTAATGCATTTGCATTAGAAGAGTTATTGACACTAGACAACTTTAGCATACTAAAATAATGAAATGAAAGACCTGGATTTAAGAAAAATAGTATCAGATTATAATTCTCCCAACTGAACATTATGAACTTAGTGTTAATGCGAGAATTACATTTATGTTATCCTACTTGTCATTGTTAATTCAGCAACTGGCCGAATATCTAGGAAATATCCAATCTGCTGTTGAACTTTGCGAGAAGGTGAAGAAGACAAATTATGATGTATGAAATTACAATCTGTTTCCATTCAAGTACTAGAATTTTACTTGGCATAGGTACAAGATAATTCATTAAAGAGGGTTGCGGACAAGTTAGATGGTAGAATGAACTTGACATTTATTAAATTTGAATATTAACACAAATATATAAAAATATAACATATTTAATGTTAATGTGCACTTAGATATAAGGGTACATTAGAAAGACTTCTATTTTGTAGGAATTAGACTGGTGCAACTATAGAAATACTTATATTTCGTAGGAATTATAGTGGTGGAACTTTAGAAAGACTTTTATTTCGTAGAGTTAGCTTTTAGTACTTTAGAAAGAACTCTATTTCGTAAGAAATAGACTCTTTGACTGTAACAGATGGTGGCTACTTGGGGAATTAACAAAGGAACAAAGAACATGGAAAAGATGCAGGTCAAACACCAGATGCTGATGAGACAGGCCTGTTTGCTGTGGCACATGTTTGGCATGTGGCCCTAATCTTAGGATTATATTTTATATGTGTGATATAACAGTCTTTCATATTTTTGTTACATGAGAATTATGAGACCGTCAGATTTCAACTTTGTAATCCTTTGACCACTTGAACCCAAGCTTTGGAAAATGTATAAAAGGAAATGCATTTCCTCAGCTTGTCAGTTCAGTTCTTTAACCATTAACTGGTTGTTTAAACTTACTTGTTTAGAACTAGAAACTCATTTACTCAATACATATTCTTTGGACGAAATACTGGTATTTTGTTGAATTATTTCTACCGAAGCTAGGACAAAAACAAACTTCCTATATTTGCAATACAATAACAAACAAATTAATTTGAATTTTATTCACCGAGTGTATTTTGAAAGCAGCATAGAATAATGATGTATTTAGATTTCAACTATTCTACATTCAGCTACAAAAGCCAACTATTTTGTTAATGAGTTTCCTCCTAATATGGTCTTCCCATTGATCTACATTTAGTGTTTGTTATAGCACGGCTGCAGATTGACCACTTTCATTTTTGACAGTTTTTACAGATATCATTCATGGTTGATGTTGAGACACCCTGAAATGCAAAACATGTGTTATATATGACACATACAGAGATAAAATACATACCATTCCAGCAAAATTGAGTCCAGAACTATGAAAAAAAGACCTCTCACTTGGGTCAGAGGCAGCAGAATCCTAAAACATAATTTTAATGTAACATTCTATAAATAACTTTCAGAGAAACAGTATTTTATGCTTATCAGAAGTTCTCTAAGAGCATATTTAAGATCTTCATCATCTCTTTCAGCAGTCAAAAAAAGACTGTATTCTAACCATTTCAGTTAGTAAAAAAATCGCCAAGACACAAAGTAGAGATGATTTCATGATTGCTTTTTACTTTTCTTTCATTCGTCGCTAACTTTATATTCTTTTTTTTGAGATCTTCAACTAATAAATTTCTAAAGAAAGGAACAGCCATTCTTCTGACTTACCAGATAAAAAAGAACTGTTAAAAGTCTAACATCGAACAAAAGAAGTCAATGATACTGATAAATTTGACAGTTAGTTTTAAAAGTTAAATCTCTGAATTTTCCCAAACATTAAACCAAAGTGGACAGTCCAAAAGAGCAACAATTTGTGAGGTCTTCACTACAGTATGTTTGCGAAAATAAAAGGGAAGGATAGCCTGATAGGGGAAGACTATCAAAATTAAATGAAAGAACGAAATCCCTTATCACACGCTAATAATTTATTAATAATAAATACATCTATATATAGAAAATATTGAAACAGGAATTAGCATACGTTTTCTTTGGGAGCTGTTGAAAACGTCCATTTTGGAGTTATTTTGGGGTGAGATTTTGGGTTGGGAATGGGTTAGGAAAAATAGTTAAGCAATTGATTTTTAATTAGGTTGGTTCAAACTAAAGGTTAGTGTACACATTTAGGCTGTTAACATGTACTGTACACATAAGCTTACAACCAAGCTCACACATTTACACAATACACCCAAAATTATTACATTTCATTTACCAATGGAATGAAAATATTGGAAGAGAATTATACAGTACTCTACATGCCTAAACTACAACATACACTATTATTTACACTATTTTAAAGTTTTAAATTACTTTTACTAATGAAATATTAAGCCTAATTATTATACACATAATATTCAATGAATATTAGTTATACCTTGTATTATTCTACTATTTGGAGTGTGTAGTTTATTATCACTTTCAACAGTATTGTATGCACAATTCTATTTTGGATGATTAAGTATATTTAGTTGACCCTATCACTCTTTTACACTAAAACATATTATTTTACACAAACAATTATTATTATTAATTTGAGCTATACTAGAACAGCATTAAAGCTGACCTTTGTCTATTCTTGCGTTTTGGAATCAATCCAACTCCTACAAAGATTGTTACATCTTATGCAACTTTCCAACCTACTAAAATAGGCAGCAACAGTTTGCAAAGATAAAGAAAAAGTATCAAATGTGGAAATATATTTTAGTATCAAAAAGTTTCGTCATTAATATCACCATTTTCTAACTTCTTGTCACAAAATCTATTCACCTTTACACAGTGAAAGATAATTGAATGTTAGAAAGACTTTAAACAGTTCAACAATATATATAGTTAAATAATATATTCTATAAATCTCCAGTAGATAGCACCACTGTCTTTCTCTCTAAAGAAATATATGTGTATATATATATATATAATTAGAATTTAACGTATGTATGAGTTTACCTCAGTATTTGAAGAGAAGAATATAGAAATAGGATACTTTTTTCCTTTTCAAATGCTGGAAAATCAACTATAGAAATATGGACGATATTTCAAAAGCGATTTTAATATTTACAATTCCTTGTTCAGTTATTGGCACGATTTCAAATGTTGTTATCTTAATCTATTTCCCTTTTAAGGGTAATAAGAGTACATTGACAAACTATTTTGTAAGAATATTGGCAATTGTAGATACTGTATTTTGTGGAATTATTTTACCAGTATCAACAATTTTGAATATATATGGAACATATAGTTTAACTGTTTGTAAAGTGCATTCTTACTTTTTAAATATTTTTATAATTCATTCATTCGTTCTGAATATTTTATTAGCCTTTGAAAGATGGTTATCTGTGTTTAGACCTCATGTATTATCTTCCAATTTAATCTATTGTTTACACTATATATTTCTGTCTTTTTCTTTAACATTTCCCATATATCAAGCAATTTATTTTACAAGTGCAACCATGCCAAATGACAACAAAAAAATTCTATGTATTCGCCTCAGTTTTAACGATATAGCAGATGGAATTATTGCAAGTGTTTATATTCAATTGTTTCTCTTTTTTATGTTATTGTTAATGTATACTAGTATCTTTATTGTCTTGCAAAAAAGATCTATAAATCCAACAAGAAACTCTGAAAACGAAAAATCAAATCAAGTTAGATGTGCTTTAATGTTGTTTGGTACTGCTACTGTTTTTTTTCTCTCATGGATACCTGTACAGGTGAAGATTTTGATGAAAATGAACACAAGAATTCCAATTTTGCAAAGACTTTTCTATATCAATAACTCAACAAACTGTTTTGTGTATATGATTTTTCATAAGCAATTTTTGAAAAGAGTTAAAGTTTCATTATATAAATTTATTAATAGAAAAAAAGTTGCAAATTCAAATATAAGTACAGTTGCTTAAAAAGTCAGGGAGAGGACGGAAAGGAATTTTTGCACATTTACTGTTTTGTTTGTCAAATTTGTCAAGAAATAATAATTACACTTTTATGATGAGTTTTTAATAGTGTGCTGGACAAAGATGAAACATCTTATCCTTTAAGATAATCTGTCATAAATACATACTCTTGTATTTCCACTGTAGTCTACTCTACAATCATCATTATCCCACTTTTAGCTTCTATCTTTTCACTCCTAGTCATTATTTCACTCGGAACCTTTGCGTACCTTATAATAAAAAATTCCATTCATTTGTACTCTCTTTCACTTAGAGTAGTAGAGTACTAAAATATAGAATATTTTTTTGATGCATAGCAATTAATTCATTTCATTTCTTCTGCAAAATGTATTAGTGTGTCTAAAAATTGTTTTAGATGATTAGTTATGATGATACTTAAAAAAG